TGTCACTGCAACAAATAAAAATACCGACTTTTTACTCTTTCTGTTAGAATAAATTGTTTCTTATTGAATAAATACATAAAAAGAACAAAGTGAAAAGAAACTTACTTTAAAACAAAAACAAACTGAAATTGGAAATATTGAAATGAGCAGAATCCAGGATAACATGATAACCAACCAGCCACAGAATCCAACACCGGCATCGTATGTATCAGCTGCAACCACAGTAGCAATCTTATTTCGGACCTTTGACATTACTTTAAATTCAGGGCGGAGATTTTCTGGCAACGGATGGGGAAACAACGCTTACTCTTGGACTTAATAAAGAAATTTTTTTTTTATTTAGAGACTAAACTGCTGTTGCCGCTGTGAACACAACTAAAGACCAGCCTTATGCTGTTGTTGCTGCTGGTTACTACTGCTGCTGCAGCAATCAGGCAACTAAGCACATTTGTGATCCGCTCCGTTCCTTCTATTAACTACTGTTCGTTGTGACTGCTGATGCTCCTGGGGCTCCTGACACTATTGTTTATGTTTTGCTACTGCTGCGGCTACGAATACAATCCTGATTGCAGCTGTTATTACTAGAACTACTGTTATTATCAGTAATTTTAGAACTACAGCTGCTACCGTCCCTAAGTGAATGAAAAAGACTACCACTAAGTGTTTTTTCAACAGATGAAGTGACCAAATAATCTTTTCAAAGCTTAAACTTTATCGCTGTGTCTGTTGAAGAGGAATAAAAAAGGCATTTCAAAACTAATTTTTTTGATTAAAATTCAATTTTCAGTTGGCAAAATTTTTTCACTTATTTCAAAAAAAGATGTAAATAACATATCAAGAACTGATAGAAAAAAAAATATTTTTTAAAACATTGTTTTGAAATAATAATATGAAGCAGAAAAAGAGGAAGCAAATTAGCATACGATTGGTACTTCATTTCTCTTCCTGTTTTTTTTACCGGTTAAGTAAATAGAAAGAACAGCATAGAAATGCATACTAATAATATAAAAAAATAAAAAGTGAAGTTAAGGATCAAAAATTTAAGGGCAAACGAAGCAAAAAAAAAAGTTGATTAACTGGGTATCTAAAGTGTCAAGTTGTGTTTAGACTTTGATGACAAAACTTAAGCATCGGTCACTTAAAGTACTAAGTCGGCTTTTATTATTTTGGTTCTGCAACCACGCTTTTTTGCTTTCTTCTCTCGCATAGCTGTCTCCAGTGTCAAAGCACACAAACCCCTTCTTCACGGCTCAAATACCGTCAATTCTGAATACACTATCTTCTAATATACTTTACTAATTCATAAGAAAACTTTAAAGAGTAAATCAAAACTTTTTGTTGAAATGCCATCAAAAAAAAAAAGTACAGGCATGTAGCAAGTAATCTACAAGGAAGTGAGAATAAGTAAAAATCAGCAAAATAGAAAATTGTGGCACAAAAGTTAGCGAAAAACGATTTTTTTTAGAAATATGAAAGAAAATTATCTGCTAGTTTAAACAGTCAAATTCACACTATCTTATCATTACATTATGTTTTTTTTTGCTAATATTTGATATCAATTTATTCGCCAAACTCAAACCCCGATTTATTCTTCCGTTTTACTCGGCAAAGACGTCCACTCAGAAGTGTCACCGCCAGTGTGAAAACTGTTCACAAACCGACCTCCATCATCGAGCAGTTTTAGCAGTTGTCATCCCAAACGTACAAAAAGCACCACAGTGAAATAATTTGGTTGAAGAAGAAAGGTTTTGAAACAGTGGTAAAGCATTATACTGAACACTTCCTGTCTTTGTTCCCATCTCCGTTTGAAGTGACTTAATTCAACACAATTCTTTTATATTTTTTTTTTTTTTTTAGCTGTGTAATTGAGTTATTATCGACTTTTAAAAAA